ATATATATATATATATATATATATATATATATACATATATATATATATATGTTATTATTATTGTCATTAGTATAGTTTCCAAATTTTTTTTCTATGTGTGAAAAAAATGACATCGTCTCTTTTGGTTAGGAAATAGATGTATAATTCCATGAGCAGCTGGATGACATCCGATGACAGTCTTCCTTTACCAAAATTAAATTCCGACGCAGTTTGCATTTATTTATCATTTCCCCCTTTTTCTCCTGTGTATTCATTACCAGCGTTATTTATTCTGCAAATGTTAGATCCCTTACTAAATCCGCGAAGGGTGTTTGCTATTTTTACATATTTATTTCACTTTTTTTTAGTCATTTTTATTTTTTAAATCAATTTTAGTCCTAGTTTTTTTTTTGTTTAATTGAATTCATTTTTATATATTTTTTTACTAAGTTATTAAAAAATGGATTTTTTAAATAGTATTGCGTTATCAACACTGTCGGAATACTTCTTAAGCATGACTGTTATACACATGGTCATTTTCATAGTCTTTGTGTATCTTCTTGTTTTTGTATTTATTCCAGGCTATCGAATGGATTGTTCCCTTGCCAAGTTTCCTACGATTAAAGGGGCTCTTCCGATCTTAGGCCACACCCTATTATTTTTAGGTCCGAGCCCCTGGACGAAGATGGCGCGTTGGAGCCTCTATCCCAACCAAAACGTCTCCGCTCACGACTCCCAAACGAATGGGGACCCCTCCCATATGAAGCCTAGTCGTTTGGTGCTCTTTAACGTCATGGGGATGCGTATGGTCTATTTGAACCATCCGGCCCTAATTAAGCGAGTTTTGTTGACCAATCAGCGAAACTACGAAAAGGCGTTGGATGAGGCCTACAAACACTTCATGTGCCTTCTCGGCACCGGGTTAGTAACCGCAGAGGGGGAGCGTTGGAAGACCGGGCGGCTCCTCCTCTCGCGGGTGATGCGGGCGGATATTCTGGAGGTCCTTCCCGAGATGACCCTCCGCGCGATGCGGATTCTGATGGCCAAGCTGGACCACCCCCTGGAGACCTCCCCTTATATCGACCTCAGCGAGGAGTTCCGCCACTTGACCCTTCGTGTGATAGGCGAGAGCGCGCTTTCCCTCACCCACGAGGAGACCGACCGCATCTTCCCCACGCTCTACCTGCCCATCATGCAG